TAATAATAATAATAATAATAATAATAATAATAATAATAATAATAAAGCGGTGACAGATCGACGGGAGGATAGAGGCATTGGGAAAGCCGGACGAGTGGCTAAAGGATCGAATGGAGTGTCTGTTATGTTTCGAAAACGTGACAGGGCTCCTCGTCAATGGCTCCGGTCTCATCCATGGCCACGGTGAAGCCTGGTGGGACTCTGTTTCTCATTCGCACCGACCTAGAGTATGTTGATCAATATTCCATACACACACAATATTTGATACATTTATCTACTATATATATACAAATATCAAATGTTCCTATAAAAATAAAATTTGATTCTATAAAATTGTACATATAACATTAATACCCCTTTTATAGATTTTTCTACATCCGGTATATACTTTAGATCTGTAACATCAATCATGTTCATAAACGCTTGAACCCTTCATTGATGAATATGAATGGCGTGTATAATATATGTGTCGATATGTTTATAATTGCTAGTTTTTGTTAGAACATATATATATATATATAACAACAAACATGTTTTTGGTGCAGACGGTGAGATTCAACGGGGTAATAAACATGGTGTATAACGGTCTCACACAAAAGAACAGTCCCAAGAATCATATTTCAGTGCATAATTGCACGAATGCAACGCTATCAAATCTTCATCTAATCGCACCTGGAGATAGCCCGAATACCGACGGGATCGATGTTTCGTTGTCTAACGGTCTTCAAATCTTAAACTCTTCCATCGAAACAGGTATAAAGTTATGTATATGATCTTATAACCTTGATAGATTTTCTCATATTTATTATTAGATTTTGTATGTATAATATATGGATTATATATGAGCAAGTTAAGTTTGCTAATAGTTTCCTTCCGAGTAATTAGGCGATGATTGCATAGCGATTAACAGTGGTTCAAGAAATATAAGCATAGCCCGTGTGGCATGTGGACCAGGTCATGGTATCAGGTTCGTATATACAGAAAATCTCGCATGGATCTAACGTTTTCACGAGATACTGGTCTATCCATTTCATAATATTTGGTGAAATCGAAATGTACTTGTTGTTAATTAGAATTATATCATACAATGTCGATATTGGTTAATTAGCATCGGAAGCTTGGGAAGAGATGGAGCCAACGAGACGGTGGAAAACGTGAAGGTCTGGAACTGCAGCTTCAACGGCACTCAGAATGGAGCAAGAATCAAGACTTGGGCTGTGAGATTTCACTCCACCTCTTTATAAAATATGTGTTTCCATATATACACACACACACATATATATATACATATATATGTATATATGTGTGTGTGTGTGTGTAAGCTTATGATGTTTTTTTAATTAATGTATTGTTTTGTTTCAGGGAGGGTTAGGGTTTGCAAGGAACATTCTCTTCGAAAACATTACATTGATCGATGCGGACAACCCTATCGTCATCGATCAACATTACTGTAACGGCGGCCACGATTGTGATCACGATAAGGTAATATTTCCGAAAAATACGTATTCGGCCCGAATAATCCACCTTATAATTACATTCTGTTTTTAAAGGAACCCACTTTCTCCTAAAACACGTATAGGCGAATATATATCTAGGTTAGTAGTATAATATTGGGTCATGTATTTGAGTGTCACTAAGAATAGTCTTAAAAATAATTAAACTAATCGATCCGTATTAAATTTTGAAACAAAAATTATTCTAGATTTTATACGTGTTCCCAATATGCAAAACTAGAAAAACCCTTTATTTATTTTTTAAGACCCACTCGTGCATGCATATACGTACAATGCATGAATACACATGCATGCACGTACATACGTGAATGTAGACTCTAAATGGTGTACGTTGTAGAAAACGGCGGTGGGGGTGAGCAACGTGACGTTCAGATATTTCGAAGGTACGTGCACGGGCGAGACGGCGATAAAGCTCGACTGCGACAAGAAGACGAGATGTCGGAAGATCGTCATGGATCACATCAACATTACGTCTTCTCCTTCTTCTTCGGAAAGGAATCTAAATTCATATTGCAGATTCGCCGACGTCGTCTCTCGCTTTGTCTCCGTCGATCTCAGTTGCCTTGATTCCGAAGACTGTCTGCCTCCGGCTCCATACTGACTGCTTCATAACATTGTACACTAATGGTACAACATACATATACATTCAGTGGCAGATCCAGAAAAATTTTTCGTTGGGGACAATATGACAATAGTAATATATATATATATATATATAAAAAATATAAAAATTAATAAAAATATATCGTCTAAATATTTATATCTAATAACTGAATTCTAGGATTTTTTATTTTTTATAAATATATTTATATAATTCAATTTATAATTATTTTAAATATATTTTTAAGATAAAATAAAGCAGACAATCTATAAAATTTTTTTTAAAATTATGTATTCTCATTAAAATTTTACCACAATATTAAGATATTATTACCAAATTATTTTAAAATATATTTATCGATTTTTCTAACAAATAATATAAAAAATTAAATAAATATATAAATAAAATCAAATAAATAAAAAGTAATAAAAATTGTGTAAAATAACAATCATAATTTTAAAATATGATTAATTTTTTTATTTTTAGTTTTATTTTAATTATTATTCAATTGATAATGATTTTTTGTTTGATCAAAGATAAAAATAAAGCTTAAAAAATGGAAACAAGAAAAAAAGGGAAAAAGTATATGAGACATAAGATTTGATTTGTTAAAACACGTTAAAATACATTTAAAATGAAAAACGGTGGGGTCCATACAAAATTTATAGTGGGGCATTAACGGTGTTTTTTGAGAAAATTTTCTTAAATTCTATAAATAAGTTTTTTAGGAATAAAAATTAGGGGGTTAATTATATATATGAAGTGGTAGAGCACAAGAAGCTTGATCATTGTTAGAAGATTCCATTTTGGTTATATCCGGGTTGTGGTTTATTTCGGTTATTTCCGGTTTGGACTTTTCTTTTTCGGTTTGGTTACTGATTTTTAATTCTGTTTTTCCTGCGTCTTTTCATTTTCGCTGCGTCTTTTGTACTTAAAGAACTTCCTTTCATTTTGAGCAATACACAAATAAAAATCAAACTATAGTCATCAATTAATTTTTCCGTGATTTTTAACTAAAACTTATTTTTTATAGTATAAAACAAAACCGAATAATTATGATTTTTCAAAACTGAAAAATTAAATATGAACCGAATATAAAAATAAAAAAGCGATTTTTTTTTAGAAAATGAATATTGCTATGATTAATTAGAACCGACATCAAACCACCCAATCAATCAAATTACATATAACATAAAATCCGAACGGATGTAAATTTTTTAAGAAAGATTGAAAGAATCGGTTCTGATAATATGATCTAATCGAAAACCGAAGACGATGAAGGTGATGGGGCGATTGTTTTTAATGTATTTTTTTTTTGTCAAATTAGAAGCATTTTATTATTATTTTTACCTGATTTTATGTTTTTAGGATTTTTAAAAAATATTATAACAACAAAAAAACAACCAAAGAATGAATAGAACCTACTTTACAATCCGTAAAAAAAAACGGTCGTTTAATGTTTTTTTTTAATTGAAGAATTATGAACATGCGTTAATCATGGTCCGCTTTGTATTTAAAATATTAGGCAACTTTGAAATTAAATGTTGGGCACCTTCCTTGGCTGTTTTTAATGAGAATCAATCACGGTCCACTTTTCATAAACATATGTATTATTATGTAACCAAATTAGGATACAAGCATATTCCTATGTCGGAATTCACATTGTACATCGGCAATATAATTTCCTTAATAAATTCATTAAAAAATTTATATATTCCTTCATAAATGGACCGTCCAAAAAAACAGAAAATGTAAACCAATTAATTAAATTAGTTATATTACTATTTTTAAATATTGCATGTTTAAATTATAATAATCAGAAGAAACCTAAAATTAAATGTGGAAATGGGGGTTACTACTTACTTATCTGTAATCCTTCCTGATGTTCGTTACTTATTTATTTATTTACTTTTGATTTTATGTTACTCGTTTTAAATATTTATTAGATTATAAATTAAGCAATCAATTTACTCATAACTACTAAAATTTCTGAAAATTTATTTTACACTATTTTCTAAAGCAAAGCATTGTTATCTGTATGATAAGTAATTTAAAAAAAAAATCACGGTCTAATCTAGAGATGAATATTGTAGTTTGGTTTATTCCCAAGTAATTCCAACTAATTTTTTTTATATGATTTCAGTTATTCGAATAAATTTTTATTTTGTGAAGGTTATTCGAATAAATTTCCATCGTAATCGAATTTGATCTAATATCCATTATTATTTGATAATTCGAAAAAAATGGATTAATCTTTGATAATTTCCCCTAATATTATTTGATAATTCGATAAGGGGAAAAGAAGAGTGAGGGCCCATCAAAGGCCCATAGCACAAGAACTTTCTCGCCACGTGGCATTACGAGTCGCGATGACGACCTCCTACATTAGACCCCAAATCGAAAACCCAGACACGAGATCGCTGCTGCTCCGCCTCCCCTCATTCTGCGCACATCCAGCTCCGGCGAGATCTCTCCCTCTCCACCACCATGGGAAGAGGCGGCGCCCTCAGCGAGGGGGTGATCAAGAAGATCGTCCTCTCCTACACCTACGTCTCGATTTGGATCTTCCTCAGCTTCACCGTAATCGTCTACAACAAGTACATCCTCGACAAGAAGATGTACAATTGGCCATTTCCGATCTCTCTCACCATGATCCACATGGCCTTTTGCTCCACCCTCGCCGTCCTCCTCATCAAGGTCTTCAAGGTCGTCGAGCCCGTTTCCATGTCGCGCGATACCTACCTCAGATCCGTCGTACCCATCGGCGCATTGTACTCTCTCTCCCTCTGGCTCTCCAACTCTGCCTATATCTACCTCTCCGTCTCTTTTATCCAGATGCTCAAAGCCCTCATGCCCGTCGCCGTTTACTCCATCGGCGTCTTGCTCAAGAAGGAGACCTTCAAATCGGACACCATGATGAACATGCTCTCGATCTCGTTCGGTGTCGCAGTTGCTGCGTATGGTGAGGCCAAATTCGATGTATGGGGCGTGATGCTTCAGCTGGGTGCCGTCGCGTTTGAGGCCACGAGGTTGGTTCTCATCCAGATCTTGCTTACGTCCAAGGGCATTAACCTCAATCCGATTACTTCTCTCTACTACGTTGCTCCTTGCTGTTTGGTTTTCCTTTTCGTGCCTTGGATCTTCGTGGAATATCCTGTTCTTAGGGACACTTCGAGCTTCCACTTCGATTTCGTCATCTTCGGTACCAATTCGCTCTGTGCATTCGCTTTGAATCTGGCCGTGTTCCTTCTCGTGGGGAAAACCTCGGCCCTCACAATGAATGTCGCCGGTGTTGTCAAGGATTGGCTCTTGATCGCGTTCTCGTGGTCCGTGATCAAGGACACGGTCACTCCGATCAATCTCTTCGGCTACGGGCTCGCGTTCTTGGGGGTTGCATACTACAACCACTCAAAGTTGCAGGCTTTGAAGGCTAAGGAGACACAGAAGAAGACTCAGCAGACTGATGAGGAGGCTGGAAAGCTTTTGGAAGAGAGGGAAGGCGAACGAAACGAATCCCAGGATTGATCTGATCTGACCTGATCTATGATCGCAGAAGATCTTACGAAGCTGATAAAATCACTAATTCTGGAATCAGCGCTGAAGGGTTAGGAAGATTTTGGTAGAGTTTTGGTTTGGAGGGAATTCAGCAAGATTTTGGGCTTCTCGGAATGATGCGTCATTTAGGTATTATTGTTCGTTTATAGCTAATTTATTATCTTTACTTCAGTGAGGATTCAAGGGTTTTGAGATTCTATGTCCTGTTGCCTTACATTGTTGCTCATGAATCTTGGAACTCCATGTTTGGTTGTTTTTCCTTGTTCGTCTATGTTGGTTATAATTTTGGTAGTATGTTGCATATGTTGTCCTTTGAACAATCATGTTTGGATCTCAATTATCGAGAATGAATCTCCTTCTCACCCGTAATCTTTCGGTGGTTGATATTTTGCCCGTTTTGACATTGTGTTTTTTGAAACTTGGGATTTAGGCGATGTTGATGATGACATTGTGTTTCTTCATGCAAGTTGCCAACTAGGAAGCCGAAACCAAAACCATATGCATTAGCTAGGAAAAGTTACCTTTGCATGCTCTGTTTTGTTTGCTGATGTTTGGTAAGAGGGTAATTTTGATTTGATCCGGTTTCATTCAGGTTGCAGCCGGGTTAGTTTATTACGATTTGGGAATTTCTTCTTCTTCTTCTTCTTCTTATTGTTGTTGATTGCACTGCAAAAGTATCAAAGAACTAGTTTTGTTAGGTACATTCAGCTTGAAGCCGGGTTCTTGGGATTCGAATTGCTGCAGGAGTTTCGAGCATCCATCGAGAAATCAGGACCCCCTTTCGATGATCATTGTGATTTGGTATATGGTTTAAGCTGACAAAGGTATCGGCTTCGGAAAGAAATTGTCTTCAACACTCGACCCCAATTCAAATATGTTGACGATATAGGAACCTTTCCATAGACTTGCTGGTTCACCTTCCTCTCGATCACGGAACAGAGCTAAACCCTAATCCGATCTCATCGAGAACACTATTTTGACTATGTAGATATTTCGATGCATCACTCAAGGGCGTACACTCGGCTTTTGAGAGTTGTATTCTACGAATGCTAATGGTGTGTTTGGATAGGTGCAATGGGGTGTCAATTCAGGCGTGAAGCCCAGTTCGAGTCCACCCGTAAAATGTCGGGCTTTGGGCCTAAGTTTTCAAGCCCAAAAAAATCGGGGTTTCAGGTTGAGTTCAATTCGGGTTTCAGGCCCGATTCGGGTCGACCCGAAAACCCGATCTTTTAAAAAAAATAATTGGAAAAAAAATTACAAAATTTATCCGATCTGATTCGAGCTCGAAATTTATAGGGTCGGATTTTGGGTTTTATGGCTTGAACCGAACCCAAAACACTCGGACCAAGTACGGACTTGGATTGATCCGATTGACCCTAGCGCTATACAGCCTACATTGTTGCATTGTATGTTCCAGGTGAGGCATCTATTGTCGAACGGAAGAATAAGGGTGCACGAGATTTCACATCCCAAACATTGTGTGGAATACATTGAGTGTCTTTATCGTGGGATTTTGTTCCTTTAACTAGAATTACTAGGGCAACAGATGGAAGACATGTCGGAAGTGGAGGAGTCAACGGTCAACTATTGACGGATTTTTCAATGACCAAATTCTCCGTATCCATCTATCTCATAAATCATAGTAAAACCTAACATCAGTTTGACAGCCGTCTCTCTCTCCCTCTCACCCACTCGCCAACCCACCTAAACGGCGAATAACCAAAGAAGCGGCGGCGGTGGTAAAACCCTAGCTCCATCGATAGAGACAACCATTTAACTCTGCCGTCCTTTCTCCTCTCCCCCCTGTCTCCTACACTCGATTCTCGACGTACCCATCTCCGGAAAATCTTATCTTTCCGGTGAAATTTCCGTTTTCCATTCGGTGTAAGCGAGGATTGGAGGATCGTCATCATCTGGGGAATCTCTGGATATCGCTTTCGAAAGACGTCTATTTCGACCGACTTAGAAGATTTAGAAATCCATGGGTAAGACCGGGATTCAGTTGTTCGACGATACGAGGAACGGGTTGTTCTCCGTGTCCGATTTGGGATATCAATGGAGTCTAGACAGCGGAAATTACCACCCGGTTGGTGGTTTGTTCGCAAGCGTCAATCAAATGGGAACTGGGTTGGGGTCGGGTTTCGGTTCCGGGTCCGTTTCGTCTCCGGACCCTGCGAACAGAGGCAGCAATAACAGCTTCGCTGCTCAGCTCAATGATCTTTACACCAAGTATTTGCCGGCGAAAGAGGAGGAAGAGGAAGTGGTTGGTGGGAAGAAGAAGAAGAAAACTGGACTGAAATTGAGAATAAAGATCTCGAATCCGTCGTTGCGGCGGCTGATAAGCGGAGCAGTCGCCGGAGCTGTCTCGAGGACAGCGGTGGCGCCATTGGAGACCATTAGGACACATCTAATGGTCGGAAGCGGTGGACACTCGACCACTGAAGTGTTCAATGATATCATGAAGAATGAGGGTTGGAAAGGGCTCTTCAGGGGCAATTTGGTTAATGTGATTCGGGTTGCTCCTGCTCGAGCCGTCGAGGTACAATGATTCCTGACGTTTCCGTAGAAATTTTGTTGTCTGTGCTATGAATTTGATGGAATAATGCGTTGAGGAAGTTTCTGAATTTTGATGGCCTTTGGTTTTGGCTTAAATCCTTTGTTTTGGGTTGTTATCTAAACCACAAGTTCAAGTTCAGACATTAGATGTAATGTACTTTGTCCCAAGAAGTAACAACTAGGCTGCATCTTTTTATTCAGGTTGTTCTGTTTTTGAGTTCTGTCTTTTGGCATCTCTTTCTTGAAAAGATTCATTCCAGAATGCAGAATTTCTATTGCTCAAGACTGCCTGCATTTCATTGATCATTTTCTGGCATAAAGCTTTTGTTGATCTGATAAATTTTGATGTCATTTAGGCCAAATGATGGGATTGTCTGTGCTTTTTCTAATCTGAACTGTCAACCCCTGTCTGCAGCTTTTCGTGTTCGAAACTGTGAACAAGAATTTGTCACCAAAACTTGGAGAACAGTCAAAAGTTCCCATCCCGGCTTCGTTAATAGCAGGAGCCTGTGCCGGAGTTAGCCAGACCCTCTTGACATACCCCCTTGAATTGGTCAAGACTCGACTCACCATTCAGGTATGCTCTGGAAATTTCCCCATAAGGACATTGTTTCCATAAAATTGTTTTGGGTAGCAAGATTTAACCGTCAACATGACAAATAAATCGGTAAAACCTAATTCCACTCCCACGGCAGGAGGATTGGAGGCGGTGGCATAGAGCATGTGATTTCCGATCCCTTCAAAACGACAACCTTAGTTATTGTTTGTTGACCTGTCTTTAAAACTATTTTGCAGAGAGGTGTTTATAAGGGAATATGCGACGCATTTCTCAAAATAATACGGGAGGAAGGCCCCACCGAACTCTACAGGGGTCTTGCACCGAGCCTAATAGGAGTTGTCCCATATGCAGCCACAAACTACTTTGCCTACGACTCCTTGAGAAAAGCATACCGGAAGTTCTTGAAGCAAGAGAAGATCGGGAACATTGAGACACTCTTGATAGGTTCTTTGGCAGGTGCAATCTCGAGCAGTGCAACCTTCCCTCTCGAGGTGGCAAGGAAGCATATGCAGGTGGGAGCAGTAGGAGGGAGGGCTGTCTACAAGAACATGTTGCATGCCCTCTTGTGCATTCTCGAGCAAGAAGGTATCCGAGGTTGGTACAGAGGGCTCGGCCCGAGTTGCTTGAAATTGGTTCCTGCAGCCGGGATCTCCTTCATGTGTTACGAGTTCTGCAAGAGCATACTTGTCGAGGACGATCAAGAATCCTGAGTATTTCCTTTCTTGTTCTTCGAGCTGAGGTTATCGGGTTCTTGGTTTGATCAAAGGGATGAGTTCCGGGACCATTCGGGTCAAGATTTGATGAATTCTCCGATCCGGGTTTTACGGGACTGACCTTTTTACCAACTGATGACTTAACAGATACACAGCTGAGGGGGTTGAGAGATTTAGTTTTTGGGGGGCAAGACTCATCCTTAAGAGGATTCATCCTTCATTTCCGCATCACCTTATTGGAATTTTTATTGTTTTGGATTTGACAAGAAGCTTCTTTTCCGGGTTCAAATAAGTTGGAATTTATACCTTTCTCATTCAAAGTCGTCAGATTCACTAACCGTGTATCTTAAGAGTAAATCTGAGATCAAATCTCAATCACAATGTGTTCAAACTTCAACACTGATCCATTAACTGCACACCACAGACATATCAATGCTTTGGTTTCCTGTTCATTTCCTTTAGACAACAAAACAAGAGACTAAGTTAATCCACTGATGGATTCCTAAAATATTGTCTCGGATTACAACACGTGACTAAGTTAAATCCAAACAGAGCCTCGAGACCAAACAGGCGTCAAACTCTAGCTCTGATGTTCCGTCCCCTCGGTCTCCTCTTGGGCAGCAGCCATCATCAGCTCATCAAACTTCTCTGACTTCCCAAGCATAATTTCAATCTATGCAAAACAGAAACGGTTTGATGTAAAAGGTGAATGAATACGTAAAGGTTACGGGAATCTAAACCAAATACAGATGAATCAAGACGGCTGAACAGAACTGGCGGGCAACTCTCGAAAGTATATTACGTTCCGGTTACCTTTGGTTTGTGAACAGGTCGTCCAATCTCCTCTCTCATATCCACCGTCGAAGTCATAATTCCTGAACAAAACAGAGAAAACCCGGCTTCTGATGTTTGGACTAATAAAATATTGACACATACGAGCGACAGCAAGTACAAAGAGCCTTACTCTTCTCAACTGCAAACCCATTGCTCTTGAGAATTTCAGCAATGGAGACCACGGTTGAAATTGCTGGAGACAAAGAAAACTATACGTCACATACTTGTTCCACACCATGTCCTAAAGAAAAGAGCTCAAGAGAAAGCATTTGAAACCCAAATATACACAACTACCATGACAGACACAAGACTAGGTCCTTTGATGGATAATCACATATGCTAATCACTGGTGCTAATTCTTTCACATAGAGGCCATTCTCTCACGAGTTTTTATTCTTCTACAAGATTAAAGCACACCTAAGGGCAAATGAAAAGAATACGGCTAACGATCCATGTGAGTGAAGTTTGAAAATTACCCATCCCAAGAGCAGAGAGCTCCACTTCACTGTGCTGCTGCATGTATCTCTGAGAAAACAATTACCACAGAGTGAAAAGACATGGTAATACATTTCTGTGTTTCCTACACGAACTTCAGAACCTACTATGGCGCCAGAAACAAGCATTCTATGTTTCCTCTTCACGGAGATCAAACAGGACAAGAATCTCAAAACACAAAAACACTCAATAGTCAATAGAGAAGTAGGCAAAAGAAACCTCAGAATTTCAAGTAGAAACATCACATTTCAGACAACTTGAGAAAACCTAAAACCTTGTTTCCGCTGCTTGGTAAATTCTCCCAGTGACTGAACAAGACGAGGATCTCAAAACACAAAATACGAAGACCAAGACGAGATTAACCCAACAAAATCACTAAATGTGATACAAATTCTGCAGGGCTAAACAAGAATCCTCCATTAATCTCTTTTGCAAAGCCAATGAATCAAACCCAATAAGTGTTTTAAACACATTACAGACACCTTCAGAAAACCCTAAATATTGCACCAGCCAAAACAGAGATGCAGAAACACTAATCAAACCCAGCAATAGAAATACACAGTTTTTTCAGACCCTCCAAGCTTTCTTCCAAATATAAAAATGAAGAAGCAAATGAACGGCAGCATTAGCAGAAAGCACAGGACGAACCACAAAGCGAATATATCACATGGGTCAAACCCCATTTCCACCCTTTTTCTACAGTTCCCAAGAAAGCCAAATCAATTCTTCAAAAAATATCAAACCCCAGATCAATCATCAGTACTAGAAAGCTCAATGGCGTTGGCGAGAAAACACGAACAAACAAAAACTATACCTTGGCGAGATTGACGTAGAAGAAGAGGGGTTTCTTAGTGTTGGAGACTTGGATTCGGTTCTTCTTCGCGTCGGCGATGCTAAGCTTTTGCATTCCCTCGACCACAGCCGCCATAGCCTTAAGCTTCGAGCGAGATAGAGAACTTTCCTCTGCTTCTCCTCTCCAGAAACTTCGATGTCTTGCAGAGAACTCCCTTGTGCTGCTAAGTTGCTAACACGACATAAACCCTAGCAAGAGCTTCTGAACGACGTCGCTTTCGTGTAACGGTAAATACCGTACCGATATAGAGAAATACACAAAAATAATAATAACATCATTTTCATTTTTTCAAATTAATATTAAATTATTTTCAGAGATATTTTAATCAGGAAAATTAACTACAAATGCTATGAATTCCAAAATTAGTGCCAGATTTCTTTAAAGAAAACGACATCCTTAATTTTTCCAACATTTATATCTACAAGCAAGTTGCAAGAAAATTTCCAAGTTTTCCATCTATGCTTTATTTAACATTTTTACAAAATTTTAAAAAACTCATGTTTCACCTAAGAACTAATTATTAGATTCGAATATATAATTTAATGTTAAAATTTACAAATTCTTTTTTAAATAAATTCGTGTCTTTATAAAATTATACCTGCAATAAAATAAACAGAGAATTTGTGAAATTTAAATAAAACTCAAATATATTATTATATAAATGGTATACAATTTAACATGACAACAAAACTACAACTCTATCGTCTGGAATTCTACAAAGACTTCTCTGGTTGCAAAACATTACAGAACACATTACAACAAACACTTGAAGAACCACCGAACAAATAAATTGCAAGAATACTTCAAACTCCTTTGTACACACACACATACACACATGTATAAATAGTGTATCCAAGGGGAGAGAGAGAGAGAGAGAATCTAACAGTTGACGCCGCATTGGCCACTGACGTTGATGCTTCCGGTGGTGGAGACAAAAGGGTTGATCCGAACCCAAAGCAGCGAGAAGATGGAAGCGAGAAGGATGGACCAGACAATGACAATGGTCGGAGTCCTGTTCTGTCTTCCCAGCAAACCCTTCAGGAAAGGGTACAGATGGGCAATGACCCAGAGAGCGAAGAAGAGTTTCCCGAAGAGGGGGCCCCACGACTGGTACCCGCTGTTGATGGCGTAGGAGACGCCGGCCACGATGCCCACGAGGTTAACCAGAAGGACGGTGGTGGGAGGGACGAGGAGGGTTGTCCACTTGAAGACGTAGAGCTCGGCAAAGTCTCCGTCCTCGTCAGAGGCTTTGGACGTGACGGTGAAGTTCGTGTCGATACCCGCGAGGACTTTGAGGAGACCTTGGAAGACGGCGAAGAGATGGGCTGAGGTTCCACCTATGACCCAGAACTGCTCGTTCCTCCACCAGTCCTCGATGCTTACGCCGCTCCATCTCAGCTCCAAGATTCCGGTCGCAAAGATCGAAATGAAGAGCAGAATGAACCACATGCTCGCAAAGTTGCTTATCTGCGCCCACATTACGTTCTCACGTCAGATCAGTCAACAACCCATGAAGATGCTCGCAAATAAAAGTAGCCCCAAGTTCGCGGGCATGTGTCGAAATGCGGGAACTCATAGCGAACGGGATCGAATTACAGATGGGACGAGATGATAAACCCAGACAGCAAGTTCGGGTTCGGGTTTTTCTGTCGCATAAAGGCTGGCATGCAAATTGACATTTACACCCCTAGTGTTTTTAGGCCATTACAATAATAATTAGGTGTGTTTTCATGCTAAATTACCATTATACCCTTGATAGTCAACTCGGGTTCGGGTACCCACCATCACCCGCAGGTACCTGAACCGTGGATACCCGAGTCTCGTGAAGTGGAGGCTAAGATACTCCGGCCATGAAACCCATGGGGTTGAGCCTGAGGCCGAGTACCTCCAAAAACTCGGGTACCCCACGAGCACCCCACCCCAAAGTAAAAGAAATCAATCACAATACAAAGCAGCATATAATAAGATGTCTGATCTGACTGACCTCGGGTATAATGAACTTGTTGGTGATGAGGCAAAAAGCCGGGAGAATACAGTACGCGATGAGCGGGATGGAAGTAATCGGGTAGACAATGGTGTTGATATAGGCGAGTCTCTCCAAAAGTCTCAACCTTCCGTTGTATCCGTACCATATGGGGCAATGTCTGCTCAAGAGAATTTCGATAGAACCCAACGCCCATCGAAGAACTTGGTTCAGACGGTCAGAAAGATTGATCGGAGCAGAACCCTTGAATGCAGGGCGTGGAGGCATGCAGTAGATTGATATCCAGCCCCGGGCATGCATCTTGAACCCGGTAAGAATATCTTCTGTCACTGAACCGTAGATCCAACCGATCTGAAACCAAAATGAGAAGTGATTGTCACACATGCAAGGCAAGAAAACAGAAAAGTATCTGCTTCTTGTCTAGACATTACTATCTGTCGAGGTAAGGAAAGTCGGGTACCCGAGATTTTGGGTTCTTGAACCTGAACCCGAACACGAAACCAAACATCTCGGTTCTCATCTCACGAAAGATTACCCGAGATAGTATCCGTTTTGGTCAGGTACCTGAGATAATTTTGGGCTACCGAAACCTACCTGAGTTTAAATACGAAATTTCGAATTTTTTCAAAATATATATCATATATTAGTAGTTGCCTCCGTTTGGATATCCAAAAATTATGGGTTCGGGTTTATATGTAATATATCTAAAACCTAGGGTCAAAAATGTCTTTTTATTTACTATTCATCGGATACCCAACTATCCAAACCCGAACCTGATTTTCGAGTTTTCCTCACGGTAGAATCCGATCTCATCTCATATAGTATTTGGATATCAAAATTTGGATTCTTTTTCCCAGACCCTAGTACCCGTACTCAATCTATAGAACATGTTCTTCCAGTATCAGATGAGCAATATGATGTATGGACTGACCTCTTTGCCCCATTCAGTCTTGTCCTCGTAACCGCAGCTGATAACATGAATTGCTTCTTTCAGAAGGGTTGCGGGATTTGTCGTTGGCGGAATACCGCCTTGTTCCATGAAGGTAGCCGCTATAAATACCGGTGACTGACCAAAACGCTTCTCGAGACTCTTCTGAGACATTAGGAGGGACCTCTCATCATCATAGCCTGCATATACATATATATATATATATATAAATGTTAAACCAATAGTATAGTAACTGGCTGAAGAATTTCTACTCAAAGTCCAACCAACCTTCGAAACCCTCTTCAATGTCTTCCATGTTAAAAAGAGGAACATTCGAGTCACTTCTCTTGATGGCGCCTCTCTTTTTGTCGTGACCATACTTCTTCCCGCTCTTTCCTTTTTTCCTCGACCCGAAACAGCTCTTCACGATAATGTTCGGTTCAAGATCTTCCTCTGTCAAGACAGGATCATAACCATACAAAGCCTGCCTGTTGAAACAACATCCAGTACCCACATAAACTGGACCTTGGATACCATCCAACCCTTTCAAGTTAATCTGCAAAAGGAAAGAAAATAAATTATTTGAATCAGTATCCAATTAAATGCGAAGAAGCATGAAGACACAGGTCGGGAGTAGATGACGGAACTCACGTCAAAGAACACGATATTACGGTTGGCATATCGATCGTGCAAGTCAATACCATCGAAACGTTGTGGGAACTGAACGTAACAGCACTTTTTGCCGAAAGCAGGGTCCATCATGAAACACATGGCTTCCTTAAGAGCTTTGCTGTTGTTGAAGTAATGGTCACAGTCCACGTTCAGCAGATATGCTCCGTTGGTAAGAACAGCCGAAACACGGATCTGTCAGGTCACGAGAAACTCCTTATCAGGTGAAAATAAAAGCTGGGTTCTAGTCTGACTGTGTGCAAGTAACATATCTGCTTAGGCAGCAAGGTTTATAGGAAGAAAACGAACCAAGGCGTTCATAGCTCCGGCCTTCTTGTGATGCTGAAATCCTGGCCGCTTTTCACGGGAAACATAGATGAGTCTAGGCAGCTCATTTCCGTCGGTATCAAGGCCACCACTGTGGCCTAAGAAAACCTGAAACCGAAACCACATTATCCCGGGTCAAGGAAATTTTATAAAATATAACGTCGCGTCAAAATCAAAGTTATCCCCTTCATCCAATAGAACTCGGTACCTGGATCATTCCAGGATGGTCTCTCGGGTTGTTACCAGGCCAGGGAGTACCATCTTGCATAGTCCAGCCTTCTTCAGGCATCTTCTGCGCTTTAGCAACAAGGGCATTGATCCTCACCTTAAACTCTTCATACTCTCTCTGGACAGCACAAGAAGAACGAAAGAAAAAGAAAGATTCAATCTTTAGTCTCTCTGTTATGTCTACCGAACGAAGACACTTTAATCAGCAATCTTGTTCATCCAAATCTCACCTTCATCGCACGTCGCTCTTTAACGAAAGAAGGTTGGATCTTGTCCTTCAAGTAATCGATCTTTTGGGCGAAATAGAACTCGGGGGCCCTGGGTTCGATGTTGAACTTCTTGCAGAAAGGAACCCATTTCTTTGCAAACTCGGCAGTTTCAGACAAGGCTTCAAAGGTTAGCATGGCAGAACCATCATCAGAAACATAACAGGCTACTTTGTCCACCGGGTATTCCACTGCAAGAATCGAGAGAACGGTGTTTGCTGTAACGAGCGGAGGTTCCTTCATTGGGTCCACCGTACTAACAAACACGTCCACAGGAGCCAGCTGTGATGGCTCACCCTCCCGATCATATCTACAGCGGAAAATTGAATTTTCAAGACATTTTTTTCATAACCTTCTCAAAACTACTGGTACTAACTTCTAGAGCTATAGATTTAGAGACCAACCTTATAGCGAGCCGGTCAAGATAAGTCTCCCTGTTGATGGGATACCACTTTGGAAACTGATCAAGAAGCCAAGAAAATGCAAACCAGATCTCACATATAACAGAAGTCAGCCACAGGGCATACGCATCTTTGACAGGATGGGTCACACGGTATTGCAAGAAGAACCCCAAGATGATAAGCCGGAGGATAATAACAACGCGATAAGGTGTCAGGTGAGAGGACGGGATAGGCACCACACGGCTCATAGGAAGCCTAGCATCATCAGCCCTGTCAGAACAAGATCCATCAATGTCCTTAGAAGTGATTTAAAAAAAAGTTCGAATTTTTCCAAAATATGTGTCCATGAGGTATAGCAAAAGCAGATATTTTTACTTTTGCCCGTCAA